TGAGGGAAGCTTTCTTGAGTGACATCTTGAAAAGCCACTTGGCCCGGCTTGTGGACTTTGTTCAACATTTCCTTGGAAAGTTCCACCACTAGCTCGGCTCCCAGCTCTTCTTCAGGATGTGCAAGCCTGATTTGCTCTCGGCTGGCTTTCCACAATCGTCCTCTCATCGAAACCCAACAGGAACGGTTGTTGAGGTCTTCTGCAATGAGGACACCTGGGCCGGTCCAGCCTTTGTAAGATGGGGTGTCTCTGAGATCCATGAGCCTGGTGCTAGGCTCTTCATGTCTGAGGTTCTTGTCTTGGCCCTTATGCTTCTTCGGATGGCCTCTTGATCCTGTCTCCGAACCCACTCCTTGGTGGCGATGTCTTGAATCTCCCACAGTCTTCGCACCGGTTCAGTGACTGATGCTTGCAGGAGTTCTTGGTCCATGGAGTCGGAGGTCAACATCGAATCGGGGATGCGGAGGTTCTTGCCAAAAACTCTTTGCATGGGAGAGAAACCGAATCTGTTCATGAACCTGTTCCGCGCCGACACAGCTTCAGCAATCACTAGGTGAAGCTCTTCTGGGGTTGCAGACACTTCATGGGCTGTTGCCAAAATCTTCTCCTTCAGGATTCCTCCTGCGCGTTCTGTGCGGCTGTTTTGCCATGGACTTTCTGCATCAATGTAATGCAGCCCACAGCCTTGGCCTCCTAGCATTGCATGGAACTTCTCATTGAAGAATTCCTTGCCTCTGTCCATGACCAGCAGCTCAGGCGGGCCGAAAACCTTGACCCACATGTCCATCAACGTCCGCAGAACTTCATCGGCTGACTTGTTCTGGCACAGGCTTGCCTGCTGGTAGTTGGTTCCCCAGCATAAGGCATGGAGCAAAATGTACTCTCGCCCAAAGATGGGTAGGAAACAAAGGTCGACTCCCACGACTTGGTTGAATTCGAGGGACCTCATCAAATGGCCTGGCCTTGCGGGACTGGGCTTGGCTCGACTGGCGCATGTGGCGCATCTGAAGTGGTCCTTGGTCCAACGAAGGATTTCTGATCGCACTCCAGAATTCTTCAGGGCTCGTAGGAACAACTCAGGAGCTGGATGTCCCAAATTTCGGTGGAGCCTGTGCACCTCTCGGCGCAGCGCTGGGGCCAGTGCAAATTGCCCATCATCTGTTTTGGAGAAGTCGTCAACCTTCTCCAGAGCCTTGGCGATCCTTGGCTGCTCTTCCAGCCGCCTCAGCTCTCTTCTTACATCCTCTACAGCATCATGCTCCGGAGGTTCAAGCATTTGAGCCCTTGGTTCATCTGATGGGTCCACCTCCGTCGGCTCGTATTCGTTCATTTGGTCCTCCTCCAATGGTCCAAATTCGGTCGGATAGGATGAGGTTGCATACGACCGCTGAAATTCCTCCTCCAACTCCACTTGGTCTTTGGCATACAAGTAGGCGGCTTGGCCCATTGCCTTGCCCTTTTGAACTGCCTCTGGCGGTAGGCCATTGGTGTCTGCCTTGATTCCAAGAGCTGCTTTGATTCCTCTCAGAATCGCCTTCACAAAGGCGGGCGTGTAGATGGCAGCCCCACTGGCTGCTCCACCAATGAGTTGACCGTGTTCATGGCCTTTGTCACAGAGACGGCTGACATGGGCGGCCATCTCTGCAATGTTGGTGACCAGCATGGTCGGCTTCTTCACCAATTGGTCTTTGTATGGCCCACTGGTGGCACGTAGTCCAAAGCGGCACATGTCGAGGAGGATCTGGTATACTCCAGGCTCCTGGAGTAACCGGTTCATTTCGTCCAGTTGCCATGAGGAGGCACTGAGTGGCAGGCTGCTCGAGCACAAATCCTCTGTGCTCCCTGAGTTGGAGGCGGCACAAACTGATTGCAAAGAGCATGTGATTGAGACCTTGTTCATACTCTTGCTGAACGACCCTTTGATTCCTCTTGTGGTTTGAAAGGGATCGGAGTCTTGAGAAGACCGTGCACGGTGGGCTCAAAATGAGCACTGCCGGTCGGTGCTTGGCGATCAGTTGGAGAGCCTGGCGACGGTGTTCTGGCAGATCAAAGTTCCAGCCCGTCGTGAGGTCCAGGGCGAGTTTGGCTCGAAGGCCTTGTTTTGTCGCTTCCTTGGTGACTCGGGGCGGTGAGTACACCTCTCCAACCTGATCGAGGAAATTTCGAAGCCCCTGTGACACGAAGCTTCTCTGTTCTTTGTCTAAGATCCTTGGCTTTCCATCAAAATCAGTCCTTCCAAGCTCAGTGGTGCTTGGAGTGAGCAAGTAAGCAAAACGAGGGGGCGTGATGCCAGCATTGTCCTCAGACTCCATCCGAGTGCCGAGCCAGTCGAAACGGCGGGCATCACACACAAAATGACTGCGCATGCCATCATCGCTGCTTTGGCGCCTGTCCCTTGCATCTTCATCGGCTTCTTTGTCGGCTGCTTAACATCCTTGCCGGCCGATAGGGACTGGGTGGCGTCGTGGGCTGGCGGTGGCACTGGAGAAAAGATACCCTCAAAAGGGTTTCGTGATGGCAAAGGGCCCTCCAAAATGGTAGGGCTCTCGTGAGACTTCGAACCCTGCTGGACTGGGTTCTCCGTAGCCGTTGTATCCTCTGCCTTCATGGGGAGGTCACTGAAAAGGAGCTGACCCCACTCGACTTCACTTCCTCGTCCGACGAATGGATGGCATGAACTTCCACCCTGTCCGAGATCCTTGGTGTTCGAGGCCTCTGCATCTCTTGGATCTCGCGAACACCGCTTGAGGGAGTGCGGCGTGTTGCACCACGAGGAGTCGGCCACTGGTTCATGAGCGCTGCATTCATGGCTTCCTTTGGGCCCATGTGACTCTTCAGCATTCCGTCCAAGCGCTCGTCGGCTGTCTGGTAGTCCGCTGGAATGCGGCCTTGGTTCTGCTTGGATGGCTTCTGGCTGGAGTGCTTGGCTGGCGATTCGATGATCTCCTCCAGCTGGAGGGCTGGAATGCCCTGGGAGTGCCTGGGGGCCGGGAGCGTCTTCGGGTAAGCCACCTTGGAGGGCTTGAACACTTCGAGAGTTGTCGGTGGTGGATCCGTGGATGATTGGGCTCCCGTGTTGAAAGCCTTGTCTTCGGCCCATTCCAAGCGCTCCCATCGTGACCCACATGCCAGGCAGGTCCACCAATGCTGACCACGGCCTGCTCGCTGCCTGAGCTGATCTTCTTCGTGGGCACAATCTTGGGGCTCGAAACGCCAGGTCTTGCAGGCGCTTGACCGTTTCAACTCCTGCCCGATGCCACGGCGAATCTTTCCATCGCCGATCTTCTTGGAGCTCTTGGGCTTCTCCTTCACAGCCTCGACTGACTTGGGCTGAATGGTGTTGCGCTGCATGAGGTACTCCATGGCTGACCTTTGGGTGGAGGTCACGATGAGATTCAAAATCATCAATCCCATCCTGCGCCAAGCTTCCATCAGGCGCTTGGATCCCATCTTCCGATGCGGATTGGGTTCGTCTTGATCTTCCTGACTGCGCCATGCTGCCAGGCGGTTGAGCATGTCTGGATGCGAAAGTCTGCACCTGATCGTCTCGAGCTTGAGCACTCACACAAATCTGCAGGCGACTGGAGCTATTTGGAGCACTGAGAGGATGGGACAAATCAAAATATTCACACTTTGACTTCCTCTGTGAGCTAGACAATGCACCGTCACCTTGCAAACTCTGAAAACACAGCTCCTTCTCCAAGTCTCCCACCTCTGGTGCAGTGCGGTGGCTGGCGGTTGCAGTGGCCTCGCCAGATGCCGGTCGCACTTGGACACCGTCTTGAGGTTCGAGAGGTGGGTGTGGAGTGTCAGCAACGTCAACAGGAGGTGAAAAACGTTCAAAACGCTCAAAAACGACATCTCCGGACCAAAAAGGAAATTGGCGTTGCTGTCCGGTCCACAGATCATGGATGTTGGAGGCAATGTCATCATCAAAAACAGCATGTGTGACTCTGCGGCCAGAAATGTGAGGCAACTCGGCTGGGGAGAGACACTCTGAAGGATGTACCAATGTATCACGAGGGCCTGGCAATGTGCCTACAAAGGTGACCACTTGACCTTCTTTGACCCATACTGCAACCCCTGGGCGCTGCTGAACACGATTTCGCTCTCCAGCAATGTCCATGTGAAACGGGTTGCGATCCTTTGCACCGAGTTCATCTGCCAGCTGTGGAGGGAGTTTCCACTGTCCAGAAAATTCGACAACAGAGATGGCTCGATGGCCGGAAGGTGTGCGCCTCATTGGGGTCCTACGGCCATTCTTCAAGGTGAAGATGTTTCGACCTGTATCAACAACTCCACCAACCAACTCAATGTACGAAATGGGCAGCAAGAACGGGGTCTCAAAATTCCCTTCATCAGCTATTTCGGTCACTCGAATAAGTGAGTTGCAGCGAGCCACACCAATCGGGATATCAAAAATCCCAACAATGCGTGCGCTTCCACCAATGCCGGCACAAGAAACTGTTGAGCCAGATGCCTCCACCGGCTGCAGCTTGAAGCGTGAAAGTGCTTCTCGAAGTCTTCGCATGGCATTGCTACCAATGACTCCTTCTTCAGCAGCGGTGTCCACAATGGCTTCTGTTCCTTCAGTCTTAACTCCAGCAAAGATTTGCACACACTTTTGCACCTCAGAGGATACATTCACCAGCACAGAGTTCACCTCTGGGGGTGCAGCACCCGTCCAACATTCTGCTCGACCAATGCACTGTTGCTCAATGTTCCGTTGCTCAATGCTCGACGGTTGCACAATGCTATGTTGCTCAATGCTCGACTGTTGTACAATGTTCGACTGCTCAACGCATGACTTGTCAATGCACGATTGCTCAATGCACGACTGCTCAATGCACGACTGCTCAATGCACGACTGCTCAAGGCACGACTGCTCAATGCTCAATGTACCCGGTCCAGCTTTGGAAGGCCCGACACCAGATGATAAACCAGGTGTATCTGATACACCTGGTTTTAGCACGTCAAGGTGCCGGTTATACTGGGCAATCTGGGCAGCATCGTCAGCATTTTGTCCAGCTTGGGAAGGCCCGACACCAGATGATAAACCAGGTGTATCTGATACACCTGGTTTTGGCACGTCAAGGTGCCGGTTATGCTGGGCAATCTGGGCAGCATCGTCAGCATTTTCGACCACATGTGCACTTGGGATCGGTGACTCAACTCCAACTACATATGTCCGTGACTGTTCCAACTGTGTTCCACGACACACGAAGAATGAAGTCCGGTTCTTCTGAGGACACTCCTTGCTCATGTGTCCCAGCTCACCACAAGAGAAGCATTTTGTTCGAGCCATCAAGTCTTCTGGAGTGCCACGGTTTCCAGCTGAAGGTTTCCCTTTGCGACTTTTGTGCTTGCCCTTCTTGCCAGAGCCCTTGGCTACAGAGCGGCCTTTGGGTTTGTAGAACTGTCGACCTTTTCTCCTGGCTTGCAACTCCTTCCGGATGTCCTTGTAGGCACTATTGTAAGCCCAAATGTAGTTGGCCTCTTCTTCTGTGTACTCTTGGTGGGTGTCGAACAGCAAATAGTTCATTCCACCTTCTCCATCACTTTCTGGGCCTTCTTCCCAGTCTTCATCTGGGACCAACTCTTCATCCTCATAGTCGACTTCTTCGGCAGCCTCTTCGTCATCTTTTGAACCGGCGGCCAAAAAGGTCTTGGCCACCCGATGCACTAAGGCCTCCGGCCGATCCAAAGGTCGTAGGGCAGCGGCCATTTGTTCAAACGGCAGAAGTGAATTGTATTTGATTGCCAGAGCTTCCTTCTGGGTCTCGCTCAAATTGGCGTGACGTAGGAGTATTCTTCCAGCAATCCTTGGAGGTACCTTCTCACCAACTTGACTCTCCAGCTCAGCGAGGGCAATCTCCTTGGCTGCAATGTAGGTGGCCAAACTTTCAGATCTGTTTCTTTCGCTACCGTAGAAAAAGTTCTCCACAGCAGCGGGTCCAGCGGCCTCCAAGTAGGGACCGTACTTGGTCAATATTGCAGACAAGATTGCACTGTATCCGTGGTCTGAAGACAGCACAGTCAAGTCGAGAGCTTCTGCCACCTTGCGAGGCACACTCCCTTCAGGAAAGGATTGAAGTAGTTTCAAACCCCAACGTTGCTTCGGCAGGTGGTTGTCCAACTCCCACAATGACAAGCTCCTCAACCATGGCCTCAGGCTCTCAACGTTGCCGTTCCACTGAGGCAAACTCTTCTTGTCTCCGGATAGGGCAGCAGCCAAGGCCCGAAGCATAACTTCGTTTGAGTCTTGTTGCACAGGAGGTGCTGTCACAGGGGTTCGACCTAGCAATTCGAAAGCACTCTTGACAGACGGCTGTTCTCCAGCAGGTGAAGAGGTGTTCAATTGCTCCATCATTTGAGTGGCATTCAACGGAGCACCTGAAAGCGAACCGAGTCCTGGTGGCGTCATAGTCGAAGGCATGAAATTTCCAGCAAAACTCTGTCCTTGTCCCATCTGGGGACTTGTTGCTTGCATGAATTGTTGATATGGGTTTCCCATCATTGAACTCATTCCCAAACCAGTTCCCAGCATTCCTACGGAAGGGGGAAAGGCTTGTCCAAACATTGGGGCTCCAACGGTATTCGCTTGAAACCCGGGCGTCATTGGGCTCGATGAAGGCGGACCAGGAAATCCCTGACCCATCCCAGCACCCTGCGCGGTTGTTCCAGCAAAACCTCGGACCGAGGCGTCACCTGACGGTGCAGAGTGCGGCGAAAACCTGCCAGCAGTTGTAGGGTTGTTGGAAAAATATAGGTTACCTGAAGCACATGGTGTCGGACGATGCGAAGGTCCGGCGGCAGCTACGTTCGTAGGTTGCCCACACTGAGATGACGGTCCAGGTCCTGTGTACTGTTGCCAGGGATCCGATGCTTGGAGGGGATCCATGCAATCCAACGAACAACAACAGCTGGCAGGGAGCCGGAGGTCGTCTCCGGCTCCGCTACCACTGTAAAACTAGCGGAGTCAACTTGAAAGGGCGAATCGACACCGAACATTGCTGATCGGTCAAAGCATCTTTTGTCTACGGTGCTCAAGGATCCTTGACGGTGAAAGGAGCAGCGTCAGGGGAATGTCATGAGTGGCTTACGCTCTAAACTCAAGTTTCTCACAGGAGTGTAGATGACATTCGAGCTGGTATGAAGGTGTCATCTTCCCTCGCTGAATCTGAATCCACTCTTGCCAGGTGTGCACGCACAAACCAACAACCGCAAAGGGTCATACACTGCGTCATACATATATCACACATCATTTATCTCATAAATACCAGGTTTCAGTGGATGGTTCGATTTCAGGCATTTCACAATACTGATCATCTTTCACCGACTGTTACTGGTCGGCACATCCCTACCTCCATGTGATTCAGTTGAACGGATGATGATTGGTGCGCACCTGTGGTGTTTGCTCCGGTGTCGGTAGGACTCTCCCGACTGTGTGGCCTTCGAAACGCCCGCGTTTGCGGCCCCCGCAAGCGGGGATTCTCTCAGCGTCGTCGACGAAACAACCACCGAGGTCCAATCGCCCAGGCGCCTGGGGAAAGCGCCGCAAGGTGTTGATGAAATGCCTCGGTGTTGATGGATATTGGCACCCGTGAAAACGGTGTGAAGGCCACCATCGGACCACATCGGATGAGGACAGTTCCAGGATGTGTAAATAGGGAGATCAGGATAATAAGGCGATCCCCCTCTCTCCGAGCCTAGGTGCTCAAATTTCCACAGCAACTGCCAAACTCCAACAACTGGCTGGTTGCAGTTAGACTGATCGTGTGTATATATTTGTAGATATTATCTTGATATACAATATTGTGATCTTTAGCCATGACTCATCACACCTGACAATCTTACAGAAGCACTCAACATATTCATATGCGATGGCAGTGAGACCACTTGCGAACCATACTCAAAGGTCAAGGGCCCATTTGATTGGATTATTCAGGTTCTCGAAGAACCCCTATACATAATTGAGATAACAAAACCTCCAAATGCTTCAGCTTCTTTCTTTGGACCTCTAGGAGTTTTTAACCATTTCCTTCCAATCCTCCCCCCCAAAAAACACACACAACCACCACCAGCCTGGTCCACCCGTGCCAAGGCTCCCAGGTTTGCTGAGCACCTCCATGGCGCCGGCCCAGGGCCTCGGCTGGACGGGAACCTTCGAGGAACGAGCACAGATCCTCAGCATCGGGCTTGGAAAAGGAGGATTCTGGTCCATTAGTCCATTGTCCTCGAAAAGTGCCAAGAAGATCCAATGCTGAAGTGAAGAACGGATGAAGATCTTCGCCTGGGTTCCCAAACAGAGTCGCAGCATTCTGTTATTTTCTCGACCTCCAGCTGGAATCGCCTCCAAGGTACTCATGCTCTCTCCGGACTGAGGATGAGCCATGTCAGTGCGAAAATGGTCCCTCCAGAAGGGGTGTGATGAAACGTGTGCGGACTGAAGCACCTTTTGGGTTTTGGGCGATTCCAGAACTGCTGGTGACTGAGCTGGCTGTGGGTCAAACCCCCGTAACAAGCGCTCTTTCTTAGGGATATCAACCCACCAGGGTAGTATTGTGCTTCCAGGTGCCATGACCCAGCTGGCCAGCTGGCCCCTCTTTCAGTTCCTCTTGGCCGGCCGACTGTTCGGGATCCAAGCTATGAATACCTCAGCGGTCATTGAACATCGGACAGCAAACTTGGGGCGGTGACCGTTTGGGTCCGATGGGCGGTGACGTGCTTCGTGGTGCGTCCGGTGGAAAGAGTGAAGTTCGTTTCGTTTCGGATGTCTTTGGTGCGAAGAGAGACACGGTTCCGTGGAAATAGAGGTGCAACAAAAGGAATGGAATTGTTGGACAAAAACCATGTTTCAGCAAACCACCTTTGTCCTTTGTTCGATCCGAGCGAGCATGACCGGGGGAGTGCTAAAATGGCCAGCAAATCGACTCACGACTAAGTCACATTGTGTGGCTTCCTGTGATTTCCTGGATCAATGATGGGACAGAATGACCAGTGACATCCTTCAGCTTTGAATAGGAGCTCAGGCCTGAGACCATTGGAATATTGCCTGATCAATCTCGGAAACTCCGACCTTGGCAAACGTATCCACTTGGACAAAGCGAAGGTCTACAGCCTAGTGGGCCTCGCTGATCTCTCTGCCTAAAGCATGAGCGTCCGCCGCTGTTCGTCCGAAAGCATGTCATTTCGACCCGGCCAGGGGAAACCTCTCGGCCAGGGGCTGCGATCCACGCAGCGATTTCTGCTCGAAATGATACGCCTCTGGCCGGGGTACAGTACCTGCATGTAGCTTAAGCATCCGACGTAGTGAGGACAAAAAGGCTTGCCAAATCGAGGAACTCGTCAGAAGTTCCCCCAGCCAACTATATTGTTGAACATTGGTGAACAAATAACAGAATAGAAGTTTGCAGGTGCCCAATTGTTCGCACCAGGACAATCCTGAGTGGATGTTCTGGCTGGACTGGGATCCGTGTTCTCCAGCCAGGACACCCAAACAGGATGGCCCTGGTACTTTGAAATAGACCAGAACCATCCAGAAGCAATAAGTCATAGTGCAGTCCAGCCAGGACACCCAGACTCAAACAGGATGGTCCTGGTCTATTCCATGTAATTACTAAATATATCTAAATATACTCTTACTCTCCTATTGAACATTACTCTGACTCTCTGGTAATAGGAGACACCTTACTCTGTTACTGTTACTAAATATACTCTTACTCTCTGGTCTGTAACATTTCGTGTCTTCCTGCGATGCTTAAAGACACCAAAGCACCGCTGCACACTGCTTGATTGACGTCTGATTTTGCGTCCACCCTGGAACAATTTCTTTTTCAAAACCATGAGAACGGGTTTTGGGGGACGACGCTTGACCCAAAACCGTGGTCGCCTCTCAGCAGCTCTCAGCCTTCAAGTTCGAACTCCCCCTCAGATCTCTTCCGAGCCGTTGTGTTCTCCACGCGAGCGGCTGACGTTCACCAGTTCGTCCAGGTTCGCCACGGCGCACACCGCCGCCGTCGCCGTGGCCTGAAGCTGTGGCCGATGAGCGATGTCCGGTCATCAATGAGAAAACACGGCAGAAAGGTAGAGAATCCATGTCAGAATCGCGTCAATTGGATGATCTGATTTTCTTTGTGAGCTTTCTGCCCCAAAAACGAGTGGCATCTAGTGGCCACGCTCCAGTGATGTGAGTGTTTCGCAGGCTGATCAAAAGGAGACATATTCGGCTCGTCTCATGTTGAGACTCTAGTGGCCACGCTGTGTCTTCGCATGAGACGCAATGGACTTCTTGGGACTTCGTCGAAATCCACGCACCACCGAGTCACCAAGACATAACTATACCAAGCACATCACACTATACACTTCTCGAGTTTTGTATAGTTTTGTTGCCCTTCCGAAGCAAGCAATCCGCCCTTCAAACACATATTGCTCAGAGCTGCATAGATTTGCTCAAGAACCTCAGGACCCGTGGTTCTACCACGACAAAACAAATCAACGTCTGTACATCTGAAGATCGCTTCATACCTCGGGTCACCCCCATCCCAGCAGGAAAACACAGAAAAAACAAACCAAACCAAACACATTGATTTAGAGTCTGAGAGCTCACCGGGAGTCTGACAGCTCACTGGGGTGAAACTCTTAGGGACAGGGGGTGACACACACAATAAACACACCCTCCAGGAGTCACAAAGGGGTGCCGAACTGGAAGATCATGGAGGAAGTCCGGGTGCCAGAACATCCACTCGCTGGATGGGACTAAACGCCACACCACACCACGAGCCATTCCATGTGACTCCTGGCTTCGAGCTCACCACACCAAGACCCAAAACTTCTCCGGCCTGGGCCAACAAGTCGGATGTGCTGTTGCGGAAGTCCAAAATGTTCTTCACCGAGATCTCCTCTCCGTTGAAACCCTCCAAAGAAAGCGTCAATTGGTGCTCCGTGGAATGAAACGCCTCCGTTTTCCACGCGGAGGCCTTTGTGCTCCCCGCCATGAAGTCCTTTTGGGAAAAATCAAGGACGCTACTAGGGGCTCCTGGCCTTACTACTAGGAGCAAGAAGCTGCTAGTAACAAAGGGCATCGCTACGAACGGAGCGATCGGACACTCCTCACTTCTTCCCTTTCGCATTTTGAAGGGGTCGATGCAACTTTCATGACATGTCTGACTGTCTGACATGTGATGCTTCTTCAGTACCCTATTGGTTCTTCACTGGGGGGGGGGGTCTCCCCTGTTGACTCTCCCA